ACTTTATAATGCGACATGTTGTAAGCTCGCCAAGGCTTGCAGCGTTTCTCTTTGACGTTTTTTTGAATCCATTATTCAGTAGCTGGACAAATTATATTGCCTAGCTTATAGTCAATTAACGATAACCGATAGGTTTATTACTCGATTCGTTGTCGTGTTCCATGGCATCTTGCGAATCGACCATCGTTTCTAATAAAATCACGACGATGTAACCGTGAGATTTAAAAGCGTTGTCAATTCAATTTTATTGGAATAAAATAATGACTCGAAAAATTAGCGTAATTAATTAAAATTTAAATTAATGTATTTTTTTTTTGTCATGTATTTTTTTATCTAACATAGATGTACTATTTATCAAAATATCGAAATTAATTAACGATACTATCAACAGATTAATTCTTCTTTCAATCAGGACTTATCGGCAATAGCTTGACAGAATCATTTAAATCTCTATAAATATTTTTATAAATTACATTCACTACCATGTTCACTTAATTAACTTTTCTTTTTTTTTGTTTGTTTTACCTAAAATAGACACATTATTTGTCAAAATATCGAAATCAACGATCGATCGATATTCTTGTTTCAATCAGGGCTCTGTTGAACGTTATTTTCATAGGATCGGCGGGCTAAGGGACGGTTTCGCTGCAGACTGGCCAGCCCTCTAATTTTTATTCCCCTCGATTTCTACGTCTTTCTTCTCGTCTTCTCACCCTACGGCCGACCGGGAGGCATCTCTCGCCGTTGTATCCTTGGGCAAATTTATGCCTCTTCAGATTACGGATAATAATGGTTACCCTTGTGTTACCCACGGAGAGCTCACGTCTTAACAATTTTGCCAGCTAGAATTACGGCCGACTTTCCCCCGCAGCGTTTTCTCGCTAGTATGCGTTATCACGCGATTTCAACGTCGATTTTCGCCAGAATTTTCACCAAAGAATTCCCCTTTCCTTCCAACTGACAGCCATTAACGAGTCACAACGAAACTCTGTCCTCCAAAGTGTGTAGGATCTCGATCGTGAAACGATTCCAGCACAATCGAGAATCGCAACCTCGTCGAGCTTCTTCCAGCCGAAGGAATCGCATATTTTTGGCAAACGCACCGGTCTCGAAATGAAATGCGAGCCGCGGCGACGCGATATTGAATCCTTGAGCGAGGATTTATGGCGTTAACGCAGTAAGTGGAACACGCGCGGTATATACTCGGTTGGTAAATTTTCAGTTTAATCTCTCCGGTCGGGGAATTTCCAGCTCGAAAGAATCCAATTTTCGTTTCGTCGGGCTCCTCGTTTCTCAAACGGTGAACAAAATTGGTCTTGGTAACTAGACGCGGAGTGACGTTATGACTTTCTTTCATTGGAAGCTACTGCAAAGAGCTGGAAGAAGAAGACGGCGGAGGTTAATTAATTCGTTAGACGTACGTGCGCGCGTATTTGTTAAAAAATTACGTGGAACGGAGCAACGTTGGCTGGGAAAATTCTAGGAATATCTCGATTGTCGTCTCTTTTCAATTATCGATTATTCTAACTTTCACTCGTTTCTTTCGAGAATTTTTCCGGGAGATTCGCTTTACGCGAGTTGACGTGAATTTCAAATCCGCGCGAAACTCTTACATTTTGTCTACGAGATGAAATATTCAACTTCCGCGACATGTTATATTGCAACAAAGTACAACGAAAGCGTATTTTTCGTTCTGTAATATTATTATTTACGCTATTCATTGTCAATGGATGTTCGTCTCATTTCAATTATTCTAAAATAGAAACGACGGTCTTACCAGTGACCATCGTAGCAGCCAACGTATGTAATGATTGTCGTAAATAAACAACATTATTACACAATGGCGATAGTAACAGGCAGACATATCAAAATTTTCAAGTGATATTACTCGCAAGATATTGTAGATGGTTGACGCATCCAAGCACAGTTGGCGAGATTATTGCAATTGAATCTTCGTGAGAGAGAGAGGGGGGGGGGGTCACAAAGAAGCAGAAACTTTATAGAGCGAAGCGTTTCGTACGCGGAGGATTCAGCGGTCGAGAGAAAAACTGTGAAAGGGGTGGAGGAACAGCAAACGTGGATAACCGTTGAATGAATATAATCGTCGAAGGTAAACCGGCCTGCAAGGAAGAAACGAGACGGCAGAAGGTTGGGTACAATGGATTCCGAAAATAAAGCGTGATCGATGAAACTGAAACAGGATTTACCCTACCGGCTCGAGGACACGCGTGCATACGTTTCTCTTCGTACGAAATAATTTTTTTTTCCTCGGCGAAAACTCGCGGTTGATCGTGAAATTACGCTTGACTGTACGAAACAAGAAAGACATAGAGAGAGAGAGAGAGAGATTCTTCGATTAACGAACGTGATCGATTTCTTCATTGTATCACTCTTTGAAGATAGTGGAAACTGCGTTTCTCGTTTCGAAATGTTCGAAAGCAAAAATTGCAAAAATTGCATCTTATGTGCGCGCTGCGATCGTCGAAATTTTCTAATTCTCAATTTTATTTTCGTTCCGATCGATGGTGCAACTCTCAAGTCAAATTCATTCGTAATAAAATTTCTGTTCCAAGTCAACGATTGATTGAAAAGCGAAATTTAGAGAAACGAAGAATAGAACACTGGCAGAACTATCTCTGAAGCATAAAATTACCAAGCTTACGATGGAGAACGAGCGCCAAGAACGCGCGCACGACGTGTACGTTTTCCACGGTAAATCAGAATTCACGAGAATTCAACGTGAACGAAAGAATTTCTATCTCTGGTTATGGCCGCAATTACGAGCTCGCGCCCCCGAGACGACCTCGCGTCGCGGCTCGTGTCCCTTTCCTCTCGCGTTTTAAACGCCTGGGATCGCGCGCCGTGGCGTGCAGTTAAGGCCGTATCGATGTCAAGATTGTGCCGCAGCGGCCGTCCCTGAAGAACCATGGACGTCCGTGACATTGTCGCGTCGTCGCACAAGGACTAACGTAGTAGTAGTAGCCCGGCCGAAGGGAAACGTCTAAACGCTCTCGTCCAAAGAACCTTTTTAACCAATCTTTTCTTTCGTCCCGACACACACACACACACACACACACACACACACACACACACACCACTCACGCTGGACAAAAATGTCGCATCGGGTTTTTCACCGAATAAATGGAGTTGCGTGTTCCTATCGTGATGACCCTTTTGCTCCGTAGAAAGGGTACGATCGATAGGCTGTTTTCGTGATATTGTTACGTTGGCTCGTTTGGTCGATCGTTTTCGTTCAGTTTCTTGGGATTCAGCTGGTTACAAAATGGACGTACGTAGAAGTTGGGGAGAGTCTCGTACAATCAGCTACTTTTAGACACTTTCCTATTTGTACAGTAACTCTTGAAACTGAAGTCTCGATAAAAATGTATTTAGTATTGGTATTGTTGAAATTTACTACTTCGAAAGTTTAACAACAATAGAAGAGTGGTGTTTTAGATTGGATTAATTTTGATAAACATCGAGTTTTCTTTGTCAGGAATGAACAATCTGTGGAATCGGGGTCTGCCGATTCTTCTTCGTGATTTTTCGTCCGCGATACATCACGATCAGATAGGTGGACACAATCAGCAAGAGTTGGTTCGATCAGACGCAAAGTTTCGTTCAGATAGATAAAATTTGTACAAGCGGAGAGAGTTATACGTGGAGTAGTAAAGTTTTACGAAAAAACCTGGCTGACCTGAAATTTTTGTCGTCTCGCAGTGTACGTACATAGCATTTGCGAGGACACTCATTGTGGACCGAGCACGGACGTACAAAGTTCAGACGTTCTGCGCATCATTCGTATTTCACTCGCTGAATGTTACAGCGAGTACCTCGTTTTGAATATTTCACGGACATTTCTACGTAGAAATACTTTGTACTTTCAAAATGCGCAAACATCGTTCGTCGCTCGAATCGTCGACTCGCGTTCTCTGCAATTTTCACTTAGAAAAAAAATCGAAGTTGAGAAGAAGAGGATCAGCGTGTACGATTTACGATGGCGATCGTTTGATAAAACGCGATTAAAAAGCTGCTTAACGAAGGTGGAATGGTTGAACGTGGCGGGAAAAACGTGAAAGAAAGGAGGCAATGGTATGCGAGTAAGATTCGCGTGTGTCGCGCGTTCGTTCGTTCGTTCGTTCGTTGCTGCGCCGAAGGAGAGAGTGAACTGAATGAAAGGGAGGTTGGCGAAAGAGAGAGAAAGGGATGGAAGAAGGATGCAAAGACCGCGAATGATGAAGAAAGGTGGAGAGAGAGAGAGGAAGAGAGAGAGAGAGAGACGCGAGGCGCAGGGGAGATGGCCGAGCGTGAAAGAAGGAAAGAGAGAGGAGTGGTTCACCTGCATTGCTAGCATTGCGCCGACTCAAGGCCAGAGAGTCTGCGAGACCGAGGACCAGACCGGGTCGGGACCTCCTTCCTTCCAGTTTCCTGCACCCTGTTCTCTCTCTCTCTCTCTCTCTCTCTCTCTCTCTCTCTCTCTCTATTTCTCTTTCTCTTTGCCTCTGGGCCTCTGGTCGTTTTCTTCCTTCTCTTCACATGGCATCCCACCGCTCTCTTCCACCTTCTCCTTTTTCGTACCGCGCGCCGATCCTCGCTATGTGTCTGTTGTTCCCCCGCGTACAGACAATTGCGTCATGACAAAGGCTCTGGCTTCTCCGGCTGAGCACACCGAGACCGTGAAGCACCCACCGTATGTACGTACGACCGTGCTCGTTCCGTGGACTCCGCGAGCTCGGTTGTACTTGGAACGATGCGGGTTTTTTTGACGCGCTCCGGTTGATTCGGAGGATGGGTCGAGAGCGCGAGTTGTAGAGATAATTCGACAACTCGGTCCTTCCGATCGTTGGTTAGTTAATGATTAATGGCGCGTCACCGTGATGAATTTGCAGATGATGATTCCAATGTTGCGAACGAAAATAATTGAAACATTTTGTTTAGCAGCGTCGTTGGTAAAATAGTTGTATTGTAACTAAACGAGGGTTTCCCGTTTCTGATTGCAGGTTGTAAAATCAAAGCGCTCCGTGCGAAGACCAACACTTACATCAAGACGCCGGTGCGCGGCGAGGAGCCGGTGTTCGTGGTGACTGGCCGCAAGGAGGACGTGGCCCGTGCGAAGCGTGAGATCCTTTCGGCCGCCGAGCATTTCTCTCAGATCCGCGCGTCGCGCAAGAGCTCGTTGGGCGCGTTGCTGGGCGCGCCTCCTGGACCGCCGGCGTCGGTGCCGGGGCACGTGACGATTCAGGTACGAGTCCCGTACAGAGTGGTCGGCCTGGTGGTCGGGCCGAAGGGGGCCACCATCAAGAGAATCCAACATCAGACGCACACCTACATAGTGACGCCGAGCCGCGACAAGGAGCCGGTGTTCGAGGTGACCGGTCTACCCGAAAGCGTGGAGGCTGCGAGACGCGAGATCGAGGCACACATAGCACTTAGAACCGGCACAGGAACCACCCTCGACGATTCGGAACTGCTAAGCGTGCTCTGTCGCGGTGGCCTGGGCTCGATCCTCGGTTGCCTCGATCCACCGGGCTCGAACGGCTCGAACGGATCGAGCGGCGCATTCTCCAGCAGCGGAAGTTGCAGCAGCTCGTCCAGCAGTTCCGGTGCACCTGGACTGAACGACCTGGTGGCAATCTGGGGCGCCGGAATGGAGAGGGACGAGGGACTAGGCGAGTCGCCGTCGTTCGAGTCGCAGACAGCGTCCGCCTCGTCGATCTGGTCGTTCCCCGGCGTCGCGCTACCATCCAGGCCATCGCCGCCGGCGTCAGCGAGTCCCACCTCACCCACGGACTCGCTGCTCGGCGGTGGACGACGAGAATGCGTGGTGTGCGGCGACAAGGAGGTCACCGCCGCCCTCGTACCATGCGGACACAATCACTTCTGCCTGGACTGCGGCAATCGGGTCTGCGAGAGTTCCGATCCTAGCTGCCCCGTCTGCTCCAGGCCCGTCTTGCAGGCACTTCGCATCTTCTCTTAAGCATCGAGCAGCCGGAGCCCAACAAACATCGGAGATATATCCCACACAGGCTCCTCTTCAGTTTTGCGTCGTGGCACCTGGTACAGCGGCTGTACACCGATATCATTCTCACCGGATTGGTTAACCAAACGAACAAAAGAAACAAACGGAAACGAAGAAAGAAACACGTCTGCTCTTCGATTTTTTTTTTTCTATTTTTTTTTTTTTTGGCGGCTCATCCAGGAACGACGGCGCTGGAGAAAACGCCCATCAATCACCTCCCGAATTTCTCCGTATATGACGAGAAGAAAGAAAAAGCCTCGTGTCCCCCGTTCGTTTGGGCCGCGGCCGCGCGAGACATCGCGGCGACGTCGGGGGAGCGAACGCGCACAATATGTCTCAATTCCACTGCTGCCAATAACCTCTTCTACGCGCCGGGAATGCCCCGATATTAAAAATGCTAATTTTGTCGCGTCGTTCCCGCCGACCGAATACAACGAAGTCAGCTTTTAAGTTCTACGAGAGTATATAGAACGCGAGAGAGGGAGAGAAAATGAGAGAGAGAGAAAGAGAGGGAGAGAAAGATATTAAGAAAAAAAGAAAAAATAACATACTCGCTCATTCATTGTCATCGTTTTCATACTTCTACCCTCGATATGTAAACGTAACGTATGTACGTAGGTATCCCGGCTCGCAGGTTCATACACACACACACACACATATATATATATATGTATATATATATATATATACATATATATATATATATATATATACATACGTTCAGACATCAAACGTGTCCACGAATGAACGGTGTCGGAGCTGACGCGTGACGGAGAGAGCAATGAGAAACACACACTCCCGGATCACTCTGTGCGTTCGTTGTGTTCACCGTTCACGATGAAACGCCATCGCGGTTCTGTTACGCGCGAAGGAAGGATTCGTTTGGATTTGCCGTTTATGGAGTTGCCTTCGAACTATCGAGAAAAACGGTTCGATACGATCGCAGTAGCGAGACTGTCGACCACCGAGATGCTACTCTGCCTCTTGGCAAATCAGTCTAAGCACGAGCGAAATAGGCTGACGCGGGCAGTGCGTTTCGTATCGATATGCAATAACATTCCATTCGCTGATTGTATTCAATGTATCACGGTATATTCCCGTATTTTTCTACAAATTCATTTTTCGGATCGAAGGCAGCCTTAGACAATGGAAACCGGAGACTGGAATGAATCGGATCGGACGATCGAGTTTTTCCATCGACAACGTTTTAATTAGCGTAGATGTTATTTTTTTATATGATTGACAATCCACGAACGAGAGACAGCGCTCTTCTTCGGTAACGGGAACGGGACACTTGATAGTTTATGAATATTTTTCTACGTTGTCCTTCTTTCGCGGCGCGCGGAACCATCCGAGACCGTGATTTCCATCCGCGTTTATCCTCCGCGAAACATTATGAAACACACTATATCAAAGGTGCTTGCAAACACTGATAAATAAAATTTTTACGAGCTCTATATATATTTTTATTTAGAAAGCGTACCAATCATCGTAAACGTCCTATTTATCGTTCTGAACGTGTTATGGAAATTACGTGCTTCGACTTCCGCGAACGGTAACGGGACGGCTTTTCAATGGCCAAAAGCGCAGTTGCGGTAACAGAGTTCATTCGCTCTCTCGTCGATCGTTAAGCTCTTTGTGTCATCTGGAATCACGTGAACAAAAGCGCAAAGATGGCGGCGCGCGATCAGCTGATCGAACGAAAGCGGGAGAAATCTTGCTGTCCTTTTTCGAAACGAAACGAACAAACGACACGAATCTCAAACAAGTTATGTTGAAAATGTTTTCGAGTGTACGAATTTCGAGTGTAAACGAGAAGTCACGTGATTGCAGATTGCGTTTGAGGATGATCAAACGATCGAAAGTGACGACGATGTAACGAGGGAAAGCTCGTGCATTCGCCGATAGCGGCAAGCTTCCGAAGTTTCTCCGCCAATAATTTACAGGATTAACCAAGATATCGATTGTGTTACTTATTCTCTGACCAGCAATCATAACAAACAGAATATCCTCGATATACTTATTTTTTATCTGGTCATTCTTCTTATCTCATGACAAGTGAAAACTTATCGCGGAAGCGACCGCTATCGACGTACGATGGACTTCCGAGACCTGCGAGCTCGTCGTACATAATCGCAGCGAACGATTACCGAAAAAAAGAAAAAGAAAAAAAAAACGTTTGCCCATACTCGACGTAACTTATAAACCTGTACACGCTCACTACTCATACTTATACATACACGTTACACGTACACGTACACTTATTACAGACAAACAATCGATCTCATCATATATATGTATATATAACAGGCACATGTCGTACGAGAGAGAGAGAGAGAGAGAGAGAGAAAGAGAGAGAGAATGAAAAGAAAAAAGAATATACAGGGTGAAAGTGGTCACGTGTCCCTCGATCTGCCGCGAAACTATTTAGATAATAGTATTATTCAAAGACAGCGTACCCGGATCCACCCAGCCTCCCTCGCTACTAGAGTATTATCTTACCTTTATATAAGCGACATAGCAATTGAAATAATAATAATATTAATAATATATATTATATATATAAAAAAAACATGAATAAATATATTATATATATTATATATATATATATGGTGTCAGGAAAAAAAAGTCTGACAACGGTAAGACGGATGATATTTTATCGAGGAGATTTAGATTTTGTATTTTTCGCGCGTTTCGTCGATGGGACGACGGGTGGCCCGGCCGGGGACAGCTGCACGCGTCGCCCGACAAAGAAAAAAAAAAAAAAAAAAAAAAAAAAAAAAAAAAAAGATCAAAAAAAAAAGGAAGAAAAAGAAACAAACAAACAAAAAAAAAAGAAAAGAAAAGTGGGAAAAATGGAGAAAAAAATGGTGAAAAGGAGCGAGCGACGGCGCTTTTTAAAGGGAAACAAAATGTTTTAAGATTACACGGCGCATCGAGGGAACGCGTGAACCGGCTTCTCCCTGAACGAACGGTGAACAAGGGAGAGAAGGAAAGAAAGGAGAAAAAGAGAGAAAAAGGAAATAACGACGTCGGTCCATCCTCACGGCCGACTTTGCCCCCCCCCCCCTCCCCACCCCGTAACTGTATTCTTCGAGCTCTAAGTAAATAATCCGAGTAATAAGTCGCTCTCTTTTGCAAAAGAGGAGGACCGATGTATCATTCACCCGTAGGGATCGACGACCCGTTGTATATTTAGCTTTTCTTTCGACAACTCGTAATTACATTATATTATATATTGCATTACTCTATCGCATAGATATATATCGGACGCTCTATTAGTACGTGTCACTTTACCGCGCCCTCTCGTCGGAACGGCAACGTGTGTCCGCGCAGGAGGGACCAACTCTTGTATGTTTTCGTTTTTCTACTTCACGGTGTTTCTCTCTCCTCCCGTCCTTGCTCGCGGACACCCTTCGTGGACGAGTCTCGTGATTTCAAGGACTCGTATGTTCCAAGACGCGAACGAGAGGGTGGCCGGTATACGTGTCTTTATGCTCTTCTGTGTTCCAGTTCACTTTCTTCCTTTTTTTTCTTCTTCCTCTTCTTACGTCGGGAAACTTGAAGCTCGTTACTCGCGCTTCAGAAAGGAAGGGAATCTGAATGAACGATCTTTGTCGCGTGATGTAGGCGTTGATTCGCTTTTCTTCTTCGACGTTAAAGAAGAAGAAGAAGAAGAAAAATGAAGGAGCGAAACTACTAGTAGTAGCCGTTATAGGAGCCAAAGGATCATTCACGTTTTCGATGATCCCACGTGGCTCTTCCTACTTCTTTGTATTATTTGCCTTTGTTTGATCCCTTTTGTTTCGTATTTATGCTGACTTCGATATCAAGCACCACATCATTTTCTTCTTCTTCCTTCTGGTTCCGTTCTTTTTTTTTTTTTTTTCCACTTATCGCGTGATTCTTCTTCGGTTTTTCGGTTACTGCCATTCCTCCACGAAGAAGCTGTGTGTTCTTTTCTTCGCTATCTTCTTCCCCATTTTTGTTTCTTATTCATATTTTTTGTTCTCCGTTCTCTTTCGAAATCGTCGAAAACTTCTTGTCAATCGTTGCCATTTTTAAACGAAGATATGCTCAAGTCGCAGCTCCGAACAAGTCGAGTTATATTATTAGTACATATAATACACATAAAGTATATATATTATATATAATATAATACGCGTCATCCAGTGTTGACGGATGATCGGATAGAAAGAGGATATTTTTTCGATCGTTGGAGCCGCAGCTCTTGTGTAACGGGTGTCTCGGTATTTTCTCAGCCAGACTCACCCCCTTCGTTCTTTATTTTTTAATATTATTACGATTTTTATTTTATAACGTTCATTATTATTATTATTATTATTTTTACTAGCTCGTTTAGCAGACGTCTCTGATCGCTGTGTGTTTCGTTTAGAACGTCCTTGTCCCACCAAATCTAACCCACCCACTGAGAAATACTTACTTATCCGTGTCGTTCTCTTCGTACGAGAAGATGACTCTTCCGTCTTGTCGAAAAAAAATAAAAAAAAAAAAACAAAAAAAAAGAAAAAAAACGCGTTCTCTTCGCGAGCTATCGGTTAAGTGGGATATATTCAAGCATAAGTACACGTACACACACGTACACACGTGGTCTCTTCACATTCAACTTTGACACAGAGTCGTGCTACATTCTAGCGGCAGTGTATATTAGACATGTACCTATGTGTAACATTATTATTTGTTGCTCCGCAGGACACCGTTCATCCTGTTAGATGACAAATTCACGTCGTATAGACACGAAGAAAATTCGTACACTTACACACATTCATATACACGTACCGACACACACACACACACACACACACACGCACGCACGCACGCACGCACGACACGCACACGCACGCACGACATGACACGACACGACACGACACGACACGACACGACACACACACGTACATGCAATGTAACGTGCACTCACACGAGACACACATAACCCGAACACGCATAGATCGACGCGCGCATACGCACGGACAGACACATTCACGAAAAATATATATATATATAAAAAAAATGTCTTATATTTATATATATACATATATGTACGCATTATATGTATACATA